GGGCTTGGCCTTGGCCGGCGTGGTGGAGGGGAAGCCGATCTTGGTCACCTTGTGCACCGGGGCGAAGAGCCCGTACTTGGGCTGGCACTGGAAATACCTGCCGAGGGCAAAGCAAGCACAGCAGAGAGGGAATTCACTTCTTTTCTGGGTTTGTGGAGAGTTTTACGTCAGGAGTGTGAATTCTTGGACTGCAATTCTATTTAACACCCATTTGGGAAAGGGGCTTTGAGAGTCTCAAACAGCGCGATCACATCAGACTTCAGAAATTCAGAGTAAACACCGCAGCTCCAGTGCCTAAAAAATTCCATTCAGATGCAGTTTTATATCCACAGCTTTTCACTTCATCACATTCCTCTGAGCTGCCAACAGATGTGATGGCTCAGAGTTAAAAATAGAAATCAGCTTTTAATTAAATCAAGTAGTTTTATATTTTATTACATACATACCATTTATGTATATTTGATGATACAGAACATATATCTTTGGTTAAATATAGACAAAAGCCACTTATAATTTTAAGCTGTGATCAGCTATGTTAAGGTGAGATAATCTTTGTAAAACCTCTTTTTAATGAGGTAAAAGACTATTCCTTATGGCAAATGAGAAAGAAAGTTAAATTGTGATGTGAATTAATGCCTTCTCATTGTGACACTGCTCCCATCTCTGCCAGGAGGCATCTGCTGGAACAGGGACTTCCAGCTCCTGGGATGCTCCAAGATCTCCCTTAAGCACAACAATTGGATATCCAGAGATTTTCTTAAGTGAGCACTCCTTCCAAGCTGAGAAATCCAACAGGCATTTAAAAGAAGGAAATTGTGTTTTCCATTACCAGTCTATGAATAAAACTCCCATGGGAGGAGAGCTCAGCTCATCCCACGAACGTGAGAGAAGCGTTGGCACCAGAGAGCTGAAACCACTGCTCACCAAAACCCTCCCCAGAGCAGCAAAGGCAGATTTAGAGCCTCCCTCCCTCCCCGGACTGAAAACCTCAGGGAAGACATAAAAACCCACAGGAGAACACAGAGAAAAATCTGACAATGACTCTGGGGATGCACCAACCTCGTGCCAGCCACAGCTCCATCGTTCTTGCCCAGGGGCTCGTCCAGCTCCACCCCACACCATTCTCCTTTAGCAAAGTCGGTTTCTCCCAGGAAACGAACGACTCCAGCTTTAGTTCCTCCAACCTAAAGCAGTGAGAAACACCTGCATTTAATGCTTTTCCAAATAAAACACCTCAAATTCAGTGAAAAAGCTTTTGGCATAACCCTGTTCACAAAGCACAGGAATGACATAACCAGTTCTTATTCCAAGCTATGTAATTTTTTGTCTATGAGTTTGTATTAATGTTGAACAAATACTGATCTTCACAACAAAAAATGCATTTAACAAGACATATATTTAACAAAAAATATATTGAACAGTATAACCAATGTTCTGAATGCAATAGGTTTGTGCTAGAGTTTCACATAAATTTCTACAGCAGATTAGGATTTCTAAGGTCTGTTTGCTTCTTGTTCTAATTCTGTGAGGAAAAATAAAAGAAATGAAATGACAAAAAATTCCTTTCATATTTTCTCTAAGGAATAATTTAGATAAACTACATAGTACAGCCCTCTTGTATTTAAAAGAACTGATATAAAGCACAATACAGAGCACTTGGCAACCCTGTAGATATAACCAGCAATTTGAATCCTTGGGGAGAGGAGAATCATTTTATCTTTTCTTCACTTTCAAGAATAAAAAGATCCAACCCAAACACTCCTAAATGAAAGCCTAGAAAGCAGAGTGGCTTTCAAACTTATCATATTAAATATTTACAGCCATTCCAATTACTGGCAATGTCTGTGAGCTCCAGCTTTTCCCAATACCCAGGGGACGGAAGAATTAAATTAAGTGGAGAAGGAAAAGGTGTTGTGTGGCTGACACTTGCCAGGGAGAGCCACAGGGTTCCTGCAGCTCAGGAAGAAAACATGGTGTGCCCTAAATTTGTGCAAATCTGTTCACCTGCATCCAGCACTGTGAGAACGGGGACATGGAGATGGAAACCTCTTCAAGAGATTCACAGAATTCCAAATGGAAAATGCACCAAAGGTCAGAAAATGTCCACCTGTGTTTTGCAGCACACCTTGTACCACCAGGAATATTGTGAGGCCTTGGCAGTGAGTAAATGAAACCTCCTCTTAAAGACTGTGATTCTCCTTTTTATACACTAAAAAGCAAATTAGTATTTCACATATTTTTTACAGCAGACATTCTATTTCTTGGGGGAACTTCCCAGGATTACTAAGGAAAAATTTCTATTTTTTCCCAGGATTACTAGAGAACAGTGAGCTCCTCATGCTGTAAATGAAGGAGCATTTACAAGAGAAAATTCACATTATTCCAGCTGGGAAGAGCTCACTCATGAGGTCACCTGTGAGGAATTGGGGACTTTACATCTCCACACAGGAGCTGCCACACACATTTGTGCTCCAGTGGCAAGATGAAGCTTCAGCTGATGAGGAAAAATAATCCTAATCCACACAAACCTCAGAAAACCAGGGAGAATAATGAACTTCTTAAATATTCAAGTGAGAAAGGAAGCAGAGGCACCTCTTGCCCACATTTAAGGTGGCAGCTCCTCCTCTGCCATTAGAGACAATTCTGGAAGGACTGCAGGTCACCTTCAGATCCTGCTTTAAGTGGCACTGTAGCAAATTATTACTCTCCATGGAATAAAAACACACAAAGTTTACAGTTATCATGACAGCCTAATATAGTAACTCGTAGAACCTTTGGTATTTGGTGTTCTTGGCAGAGAACACACAAACAAGCACTAGGACTGGCTTAGAAAAAAAGAATTGTAACCTCCCAAAGAGTAACAGAGAATCCAAATCTCTGGCATGGTGGTGAGGAGGGAAAACAAAATACTGATAAAATAATCCCTGGGAAGAACTACCCCTGAAATGGCAGAGCTACTCAGACATTAGCTACTTTATCTAGAGGGTAAATATCTTAAATACAAACATAAAAAGAAATTTTAACTGCACTATGAGCTCCAAATTCTTCTCCTTATTCCTTTTCTGGCCAGTTTGGGGAGGGGTTTTTGTCTCTTTAGGGGAAAAGACTGGTTAGCTCTGGTTAGAAGCTATTTCCCCACTCAATTTTGTTCTGTTTTCTACCTGATAAAACAAGAGTTAAATCAAAAGAGGCTCTACAAACCCATTTAAGAAATTAGAGAGGAAAACTGGAACAATGGCCCAGATAAGGAGGATCCCTCCCAAGACAAGAGTCAGGTTTGGGGGTGCACAGAGATTCCTCAAGCTCCTTTTCCACACCCCTTGAGCCCGGCAATGGAATTTTCTCCCTGTTCCGTGGTGTGTGTTTGTGTCTGTGGGGATTTCTTTAAACAAACCCCGATGAATGACCCAGACACAGGAGGGTGAGCGGGGTCAGTGAGGTGTCTGAGGCACTGAGGGGAACGGGATAAATCCTGCAGGGATTCCCAGGGACAGGAGAAGCTGCTGCAATCTGTGCCCTCCAACCCTGCACATCAGCCCCTAGGCAAGGGATGAAGCGATGCTGCCTCCAGGAAAACTCTGTGTACAATATTCTTCCTTTTCTGTTTCATACCTCAGCCCTGCTCAACTTCTGTGTTTATGTAAAAAATGGGAAGTTTATTATGAAGGGAGCACACTCAAACACAGCCTGGAGGAATTTGGCAGTGCCCAGAGCCCCTGCAGGGAGCCAGGGCTGGGGCAGCCAGGAAATGCAGGAATTCAGCTGAGAATTCAGGAATTCAGCTCCCAGAGCAGATGGGAGGGAGAGGCTGCTCCACACCAGAGTCCCTGCAGGAGCAGCAGGGACTCCTCTGGTAACCATGGCACCTGGGTTATTTTCAACAGGACTCAAGGGAGGATGCCAAAGAATTTCTGCTTTTTTCCAAACCCAGTCCAGCTTCTTTGAATAACCAGCTCCTCCATTTCTCTCTCTGCACATTCTGTGTGTCCTTACAAGAGCAGGAATTGGAGCACCCCGTGGCTGTAAAGTGCTCAGAGAATCAGTGAAGCTCTAGATGGGCAGTTTTGCTCAGGTTTAAGCAAAATCTTTCTAAATTTCAGCTTTAAAGACAGGTCAGCCCTCCTTTATAAAGCCTAAGACCACTGAAGGCTTCCAATCATTCACAGACATCTCTCCCAAAAATTGTATTTATCTCCAGCAGCAATTATTACCTGTAAGTGACAACACCTGCCTTGAGAAGAAAATAATCATAATTTATTCCCTTGGTAGTACAATGTGAGGTGCTACTGCACAAGACAGCGTGCTAAAGGCTTTTCATGATGAAAGTTGCTGTACATATACAGAATTAATAGTGCCATAAATGGGAAAAAAGATCCTGACATGATTAAACTCAACTGTTCCAACCAATATGAAAAAAGAATTGTATAAAATAGTATAGTATAAATTGTAAATAATTGTAAAAAATAGTATAGTATACTATATACATAGTATACTATGTATAGTAGTATACTATATACAAATAGTATAGTATTTCTGTTATAGAAAAATTATTTTTAAAAATTGAGAGAATTGCAGCAAAAAAGGTAAAAAACCCAACCCCAAACCAGCAGATCTACTTCCCAGTACTGCATGAAGGACTAAAATTAAAACCATCAGCTTCTAAAAGAAATAGGGAAAAAAAATTAAAAGGTTTCTGAAAGTTCTGTGAAAAACCAGAGCACAACTACCACAAAGACAGTTTTCCATGACCTTCTTTCATGCTAAGGCAGGTCACTAAATAATGGATAGAGGAAGGAAGTGCCAGACGTTCCCTCAGTCAGTTCCCACACTCAATGGAGTGAAGCTGGAAAACACAAAGCTGTGACACTGCAGAGAATCTGGGTTAGCCTGCAGGTCACAGTGAGGTGAGGAATTCTGCTTGGAACTCACTGGAGTTGTGTCAAACACATGCAAAAAGTGATTAAATTCCATTTATCCAGTTCTACCTGAGCTCACATGAATTTGCTGCCAGGTAAAGTGAAACAGCAAAGTGGGTTTGGAAACCTGGGGTGGTGAAAAAGCTCCTGGTGAAAGGACAGGGGGTGAACACATCAGACCTTGTGAGAACCTTTGTGGAGCCACATTTCCAAAGATAAGGAGAAGCAGGAGACAAATAGACCAGTGTGATCCAGGGGGAAAAAAGAGATGGACTGAAAAATGAGAGTGATTTGAGCAGTGCTGGTGGAAAAGAGGACAGGCAGGGTCTGAATGCTGTCAGTGTAACAATAGCACTTATGGAAACCTGCCCAGAGAAGGTAAAAGGTGAATAACAACTGCTCTGTCTCCCTTTCTGCCTGAGCATGAACTTGTGGTCACTCCTGAGAGCATCACTGGGCATTTCTGCATTTTCAGGACAATTCAGCACCACAATGTGCAGCCCTTGGAAAAGCAAAACCCACACGGAGCCTTTGAACCACCTGGGATCCACTAATCAGGTTCTGATCAGAATCATCTTCCTCTTGTTTCTCCAGATTTGGCAGAACTGCTTCCAGCTGGCAACAGAAATTGTGTTTGATTTGTTCACCCCTTCACAGCCAGAGGGGACAAAGGGATCATCTCTGCTTCTCATGGAACAGGCCTTTACATTTCACCCAGTTCCACCTGTAATTAACCCTGGAACTGCTCTGAGCTAATTGCTGTGGGGATGTTTTGGCAGCAGAGCTGATATCCGTCAGGAAACACCCAAACCTGGACTGGATTTGGCCTGGAGTCCTAAAGAGAGCAGGGAAATCAGCACCACCAGGCACTGATGGTATCATCAGCACTGAGAGAAGATTTGAAACTTTAGAAAACTTAGAAAAATAAGAGTGACTTCTGCTGTTTCCACTGATTGGAACAGGATTCAGAAAAGCCTCGATGATGTGGATTCTGTGATGTGCAAAGTTCTGTGAAGGCAAATTCAGCTTTTCCAGAGCTGTGGGCAGAGTCTCCACCTTCTATTGGGCTGTTTCCATGGAACTTGGAAGGATTTGCTTTGAAACCTCTCCACTTCCACCCAAATTGCTTGCAGTCAACTTGAAAGTTCAAAAGCAAGGCCAAAGTGGGCAAAAACCTCATGTGCAGTAAGATACACACTGTGCTACCACTCAATCCTTCACTTCCACAGAAAACAGCTTAGTAACTAAAACTGATGGGCTATTGAGGT